CTCAGGTTATATATGGCGGGTGGAAGTGTACGAGTGGGAGAAGATAAAAGACATCTCTATCTCAGACACGATATTCTTATTCAAAATCAACTAAATAGTACAAAAGAAGATGACTCTTTAATTAAGACTCCTCAAACCCTAAATTTCTATCTTGTACAGCAAGACAAGAGTTCTAATAAAGTAATAAATAAATAAGTTTCGTAGCAAATTTAGAATACCACTAATAATAATAAAAATAAAGGAAATAAATAATTAATTAAATCTATTCTCCACCAGAAACCCAGTTGAATAGTTACGGAATATGCTCATTGCAATATGTTTAGCATGCACTCTGGTGCGTAAACACCCCCGACCGACTGGAATCGGCCTGCTTTTGAGCTTCCGCCGATTGAACGCCTTTAGACATGCAAAAACTCTCAATTGTTCCTTCTAGTCGATCATACCCCGACAGGTTGAGCTTCTATCAAGCTATCCGAGGGCCCTAACTAAAACTGTTGCCCTATACCCCTTGTGTTGTCTACCAGACCAAAGACTCTTTATCTTAGTTGGTGATGTTCGATGTCTAACTCGAATTCTTGGGAATGCAGCTTTTGCTCAACTGTTTAACTTTTCTAGTAACATAAACTAGAAAATATTCCAACTATTCCTTTCAATGACCTAACTTAGAAACAATGTTCTATTGCTTGCACTTCAACTACATAGTCTCTATGATGAGAACTTCACCACATGTTTTACCTAAAGAGATGATAATATCATTCTATTGAACTAACTAAGACAACGAGAGTGCAACTACTCTTTATTAGGTTGTGTATTATTAAAAGCAATAATAAACTTGGTACCATCAATGTTTGCTGAATATAGCTTTTAAGGAAAATAATAGAACCAAGTACAAAGAAATCTTCATGTGTATGATCTCTTAGGGTATGATTGATATGGATTTGATTGATTTATTGTTAGTTTCTTTTTTTTAACCATAGTTAATTTTAAAAAATATGTTCTGTTTTAGTTGTAAGTGAAAATTTAAGTTTAAATTAATATATGATTTAAAATAAAATAATTAAAGTTAATTTGATGTAAAAGTAGGAAAAAATGATTGGAAATGATGGTTAGTTAAATTATGTGAGTAAATGAATAATGAATTAAAGTTGGTGTGATGTGTAAGAATGATTAGTTGATTTTATTTAAATATATTGTTAATATTGAGGATTGTGTGGTTGGGTTAAACTTGAGTTAAATTTGAGTATATTGGTTTTTTATTGGTAAGTTTATAACCAATCACACCTTTAGTATTTCTATAATCCAATATGACAGTCTTATGGTTGAATTGTGTATTTTTGTTTCATTATATACCTACAACATCAGCACAAATATGATAAGAATTACTGATGCATTATGTTATTTATTGCTAGTTTTGGCAAAGAGAAGCAGATAACTTAAGGCAACAACTACAATACTTGCAAGAACGCCACAGGTAAATTTGCCTCTTATATGTATATGGGAGAGTTGAAGTTCATCCATGTTTGATAAAAGAAGAAACTTGAAATAAATGAGTAAGAAAGTTGTAAATCTCATAGCTCAATATGGATCATTTTTCAAAAACTTCATTGTAACAGTACATACTTTCCTTCTTCTTGCTAACTAGGGTTCCTAAACAGGTAAGCAATATATATATATATA